TGTTTATAGACCTCGCACACCTGCACTCTCTCGTGTCTGTTACCACCCATAAACGGATGACTTTCAGTTTTGTATCTTAGCCTGGCCCTCTCCCCTGGACTCCAGACTTGTATTTGCAAAAGCCAGCACAACATCTCCAACTCTACACGTCACAGCTAACCTGTGACTTCCCCCACCTCTGGCCTTGTCCCCACAAGCCTACTCAATCTGAAGTCTACTCGACCTTCCTCATCTCTCTTAATGGCAAGCCCATCTTTCTATTGGTTTAGGTCAAAAACTTTGGAGGCATCCTTGATTTTTTTTTTTCCCCCACATACTCATCCAATATGTCCGCTAATGTTGTTGGGTCTACTTTCAAAACATAGTCAGAAATTTGTTTACTTCTCAGCAACTCCACAGCTACAACCTTGGCCCAAATGACCATCATCTGGCCTAGATTATGGCAATAGCTTAACTTTTGCTCTGAACTCCCAAGAATTTATTCTCAGCACCGTATAGCCTATCGCCCTACCTGGTCTGGCCCTTGTTACTTTAGTGGTCCAATCTCTCACCCCTCTCCCACTGGAGGATGGCCCTCCAGCCACACTGGGCTCCTACCTCAAGGCCTTTGTACTGGTTGTTCCATCTGCCTGAACTGCTCTCCTGGATAATTTTGTGTCTTCCTTCCCCGCTTCCTTCATGTATTTATTCAGTGAAGACAATTATAATCCCTTCTTCATATTTAAAGTTACAACTGGAGTTGACCCCACCTCAACATTTCCAATCTCCAATTCCCTGCATTATTTTTTCCATAGCACTTAGCGTTTCTAATATATTATGTGATTTATTATTTACCACTTTTAAAAAATTATCTGTCCTCCTCAACAGAATGTAAGGTCCACAAGGCAGAAATTTTTGTCTGATTTATTCACCGATGTATCCCTATTGTATATAACGGTACTTGGCACATAGCAGGTGCTCAGTGATATTTGTTAATGATTCTGGGTCATGAAATACAGACTTACATACTGACTTATTTTAAGTAGATTTTGAGGTGATTTGCAATAAGATTAATGAGATAGAAATATGAAAGGGTAAATTTAATGCCCATTGCAGAAAATTTAAGATTGGACTTCCTGGAGGAAATGAGAAAACCAACCATAAAAACAAGTATCTATTGAATACCTAATATGCTAGTGTACTTGCTACTATTGGAGTTGATTGGAACATAAATCGAACAATAAATCAGGGCCCTGATGTATGTTTGTACATCTATTCTTAGAATTACTAAATTGCTAAGTTTACTAACAATAATCTTATGAGGTCCTTCTAATTACTAGCCTTTTACAGAAGAGGAAATTGATACTCAGAGAGCTTGAGATATTTGTCCAAGACTACAGAGCTGGTCCATTAGGATTTGAACAGTGATGTGTTAAGACTCCCATGCCCATCCTTTTAAATGCTGTACTGCCATTGTAACTTACACTCCTATGTATTATAAAGGGGAAAATATGCCAGTTCCTCATGAGAGAAAACTATTTACTTAATTCCTTTTTTTTTTTCTAAAGTAGGCTCCATGCCCAGCAGGTAGCCCAATGCAGGGTTTGAACTCACGACCCTGAGATCAAGACTCTGAGATCAAGACCAGAGCTGAGACCAAGAGTCAGACACTTAACCAACTGAGCCATCCAGACACCCCTATTTACTTAATTCTAATGTAATTCTTTTACATTCAATAATTTCTGAGCTCCCTCCCCATCCCTGTCCTGAGCTGCTGACTGATTCCCCATCCTTCTCTCAGCCCCATTTCCTGACATGACTTTTACTCTTACCCAAATTATCTGAACTTTTTGTGGCTCATTGACACCTTTTAAAAACGCAGTGAAAACTCCAAAATAACACATATGCCTTAATAATGCAACCCCTATGTTCAATTTCAGGAGGCTTAATGAATTTTCAAGAAGTCTAACCAGGTTAACTGCATTGGGTCTCTTGTAACAAATCCCAGATGCCAGCCTTCAGAGCCAATTATTTCCTAGCTTCCTAATGTTCCTAGCATTCTCTATTATATTGGTTGTGATTAAGATTAAGGATTCGGACTGGTTGACTGCTAATGTATATTCTAGCCCTCAAATTCTCTTTCTCATTTTCTCATTTTCTTCCTTTATTCTCCTCCATATATGCCCTTCCCCCTAAGGTGACCTTGCCTAAAACAATCCTTTCTTTTCTTATGTTAATAACTTTCTGTCCCACCCTCCTTCATATTAAAACATTCCATTTTGTACAGTTCCTGGGAACTTTCATTTACTTGTTAGGTGGAATGCTGCTGGATTCATGACTTAATAAAGCCAATTAGATCTTCAAATTTACTTGGTTGAATTTTCTTTATTTAATATTAGTAACTGTATATTCCATGACGTCTGTCTGTCCCTTTTGCTAATAAATAAACTGAAAATGAATCCAAAAAGGAGGTAATATATGAATGACAGACTGGTAATGTGGGGAGGAAGAATAATTTTTCTTCTACTCTTCTAGGTTCTTGACTGACACATTCCCCTCCCCCATAACAAAAGACAGAGTAACAGAAGTTTGATGGCATGTACCCTTCCTGTATTCATGGTGATGTCCTTTTGGAATGTTGGTGAGGTCTGTTGCTGACGACCAAAAAGAATTCTTGAGACATCTTTGGTGCAAAAAGGTGATTTTATTAAAGCACGGGGACAGGACCTGGGGACAGAAAGAGCTGTTGCCCTGAGGTTGTGAGGAGTGGCTGATTTTATACTATGGGGTTGGGTGAGCTTAAGGGAAAAGGGAGGTGTCCAAAAGGATTTTCATATGCTAAAGAAGATTTACAGGATACTGGAGGCCTTGCTATTATCAAGCTAAGGTTGTTTTTCCCTCTAGCAAAGCATTCACTCTGAGATATTTGGAAACTTCCTGGCTGGATGTCACACATAGCCCACCCAGGTGGGTAGGGGGCAGGGAGGTTGCAGGGTGTCAGCTCCTGCTTTGACCTCAGCTTTCCTTCTGCTCCCTCATCAATGGGAGAGACTCAGGAAAACTGAAGAACTTCCAGAAATGGCCCAAGCCATCACCTTAAACACCATCTTCAGCTAAAGACAAAAAAAAAATAATAATAATAGGGGTGGGGGTGAGGGATATGCTAGTTATGGGAGGTTTTCAGGCAAAGCACGGTAAGCAGGGGTGACACGGTGAGTGTGAAGATTAAAGTTGCTACTTTCTCTATTGATAAAGAGTTTCTAAAGCTTTATTCTGCTCCTTTCAATAGAAATGGCAGTGCTGGGTTAAAAAAAATAGAGAAGTCCTCAACTCAGAACTCATGTCAAGTATGAGAAGGTGCAAGTTCCCTCTGTTAAAAAGTTATACATAGACACACTCACTGACACCACACACAGAGTAAACAAAGGTTCTAAATGATGTGGGAAACAAAGGCAGAAGAAAAATTATTAAATGTCCTTATGACTTACAGCCCATTGACAAGTCCTTGAAACAGTCAGAGTGACATTCCTCTAGGAACTCAGCTGCCTCTCTCGATACTTTGCTAAGGGTTAAAGGCAATCTTAGCCTGACCCCCAGGATTCTGTAAGTCTATTTTAACATATAAAAATTCTTTTGGAAACTTCCTTTATCTCTACTCCCCAAGATACATGTTAGCAGTCATCGCCCAAGCATATGGCCCACCGATATACATAGGAAGGGTGTCATGACTAAGGTTTTACTAGACAGTAATAAATGACCTTTTCCTAACAATAGCTAGCCCCCCTCAAGGTCCTGGAAACCTTGCGTCCAAATTCCTTAGAGACTTATGCTAGCCCTAACCCCCTCCCAACTTCAAAATATATAATGGGCCGCTCCTCATGACCCCAGTGCAGCTCTTTCTGCCCAGGGGTCCTGTCCTTGTGTTTTAATAAAGCCAGCTTTTTGCACCAAAAACATCTCAAGAATTCTTTCTTGGCCATTGGCTTCAAACCCTAATGTCTTTCCTACATCACTAAATCCATCTCTGTGGTGCTCATGACTTATGGCATGTTGCCCAGTATAGTCTGGTTCTTCCTTCACAAGATGAGTAATAACAAAGAATATAGGTGTTAAAAAGAAAACCGCATGGCCATAAAGGAGACAATTAAGACCCCAAATCAGTAAACCAAGATTTAATAACTAACCTAACTACAGTTTCAAACCCCTCAGGAATGGACCTTTAACCAGCCAACGTGGAATTTCCTAGAGCCAGTCTCCTGAAAGACCCCTCCCTCCTTAGGAGGGCAAACTTGCCTAAATGCTGCATTCCTTGCTAATTAATTCTTCTTTTTTTTTTTTAATGCCTTCTCTCTACCTTTAAAAACATTTCCTTTCCTGCAGCTCTGCGGAGCTCCCCTCTGCTTACTGGATAGAATACTGCTCAATGCAAGAATCATTTAACAAAGCCAATTAGATCTTCAATTTTACTTGGTTGAATTTTGTTTTTTAACAGAGGTCAATTTTTTATTCTTACCATCATCATCATTATTTGGGGTTCAGTTTAGAAGGGTCCCAGGAATGTTTAGACTGGTTTTGTTTTTGTTTGTTCTTGTTCTTTATGTAGAGGAATATACATTCAATGTTTAAAAGGAATGTGTTTAAACCTGTATATGTCTCAGGCTGTTCTGGCCTAGTCACAAAAACTAGGCAGAATTAATTATCCTTAAACACACACACACACACACACACGTGCGTGTGCGTAAATCCTCTTTTCTTACTCTCTGGCATTCTTCAGGGCATATTTCTTTTTCATGAAAGATTAGACTCTGAATTTCAGAGCTGAGACAAACTTGAGAATCATGTGTTAAGCCGTTCATGTTCCGATGAGGCAACTGAGACCTGCGAATCTCATGAGTTGCTCAAAGTCACAGAGTTGTAACAGCAGTGAGAGAATCAAGAGGCTGCGAGATAGATCCCCCTGCTCGTGGTCAAGCCAGGGCTCTGGCTCACACCCTTTAATCCTTTCAAGGGGCCCCCACTTATCATGCCTGGAGCCGGGGCAAGCCCTCGAGGTCAGCACAGCCCGCAGCTCTGTTGACTGGGTTGCTAGCAGAGTTTGGGCGCAGGAAGCAGGTAGCAGGGTCCTGCTGTGTGTCAGCAGCACAGACGTAGGTGGCTGAGTCTGCAGGCTGGGATTTTGTGATATATAAGGAACTCTGTTTGATGGTCTTGTCAAAGGTGGCCCTCAGTCTTCCTGTCTGTTTTTCACCCTCATTTTCACGTATTAGTAGCAAGAAGACAAAGCTTCTTCCCAGATCTTGTCGGTACCACTGGAAGACCTCTGGAGAGTAATTCGTATAGTCACAGGTCAGCACAGCCTTCTCACCCTCCTGGATGCTCAGGGACTGCGGATTCTGTTCCAACTTTTGGCTGCTTACCCCTAGGCAGAAACACAATACCAGAAACAGAAGGTTTAGTCACTACACTGACACTCCTTAAGAGTCATATTTTCAGGGTCCCTGGGTGGCCCAGTCGGTTGAGCAGCCAACTCTTGATTTCAGCTTCGGTCATAATCTCAGGGTCCTGGGATCAGGCCCTGTGCTCAGCTCAGCGCTCAGTCAGGAGTTTGCTTTAAGATTCTCTCTCCCTCTGCCCTTCCCCTGGCTCACTCACACGTGTGTGCATGCTCTCTCTCTCTCTCTCTCTAAAATAAATAAATCTTTTAAAAAAAGCGTCATATTTTCTTTCCACAACCCCAGATATAACGAAAGATGAAGCAGAATGGATCTTGGCCCTCTCCCTCCATCCTGTGGGCTGGGTCCCTGGGTCTCTTTGTCCTCATCACCAGGAAGCCTCCAACTCACAGTCCACTGGAAGCCACAAAATCACCAAAATAACTCCCAGGAACAGCTTCATTGTTCTCCCCAACTGTGGCCTGGTATGTGGACCCAGTCTCCTCAATCAAAAAGTCATTCCCTCTAGTTTGGTGGGTGTCACTGGGGCTCTTCTGTGGGAGGAAGTCTCTGCTTTCTACCCAATCAGTGACAAGCTTGTTCAGCCCTCTACAGACACTCACTGACCTAATCCAACTTGAAAGTCAACTGTTTCAAAGCTGAGGAAGGATCCAAATAGATAGGAAACAGCGCCATCTTGTGTTCAGAAGGTTTTTTCAATAACAAAATGTGCTCTAGAGCAGTGCTTCTCACCCTGTGTACAAATTACCTAGGGATTTTGCTAAAACACAGATTCTTTTTCATTATGTCAGGGAGCAAGAATATCCTGTTCCCTACAAGGTCCTTCTAGACAGACTAAGAATCAAATGGTCATGAGACAGATTAATAAGAGTAAAGCAAATCTGATGTCGTACTTATGATGCGGAATCCTCGCAGACATGGACATTCCAAAGACAGGCAAAATGAGGTATATATGTCATCCCGAACTAAGCAGAAGGGGGTAGGGGTCTGGGACTTCAAAGGGAAGGAAAGTAATTGACAGGAAGATGAAAAGTAAATATTTGACAAGCAAATGTTTGCTGGACGTCTCAGAGACAATGGGCCATAGAGCACTTTGATCAGACAGGATTTGTTAAGTTCCTCCCTGTCTACCATACGTAGTTCATAGTATAATGTAGTTAGTGACGGTGATAGCGGTCTTCCTGGAGCAGGTCCTCTATCTAAATTCTTTTTAGGCAGTTGTTGGGGGGCGGGGTTGGGGAGAGGTAAAGAGCTTTTCCTGCATCTGCTGGTTTTGGATTGCCTTTTAACTCAAAATAATCTTCATGCCAAAGTAGCCCATCATGGGGCAGCCAGCCCGTGGCCCCAACAGTTAGGTCTCCAGTGGGACTGGATAGTCTATATTTCTAACAAGCTTCCTGGCCATGTTGATGCCTCTACTTTAAGTAGCAGGACTAGATGAATGCTTGCCTCAGTCCAGAAAAGGAATTTGCAGTATTAAGGTTTGATACAGGACAAATGATCACGTTTCCCAAGGTCTCCATTCCACCACCCAAACTATACTGTTGTTTCTAACAGTTGCCGGAGGATGTCACCAGCCGTAGATTAACGTAAAGCACAGGAGAGTGCATGGCTGAATCCTAGGGAACTTGCTCAGATCCAGGGAGTGAACCTCCTCTCTTCACTCCTCCTGGCCTTCCCACAGGCAAGAAAATTATCACTTTGACTTCAAAAGGTCTTTCTTCTTGATCTTGTTGGGATAGTGTAATAAATACTCACTTTAAATCCAGCAGAAACTCAAATCAGGGAAGTTTCCCAGTTCATGCAAAACCATGCTCCCTGAAAGGTCAATTATTTTTTAAAATACAACAGTCCTCTGATTGCATATATCAGAATATCTTTCCTACTTCGTTAATGCCAAGGTGGGTGTATTGTCACTTCCTCAAATACATTTAGGCCATCCTGTGGCCTAAATGAAAGAGGGATGGATAGATGGACAGACAGGAAAATGAATGCATGGAAGGAAGAAAGAAGAGAATGGGCTAGGGTGTGCTGAGAAATAAAGCCAGACGGAGAGTTTGGGTCTAGAAAGCAGAAGATTTTGAATGCTTGAATTTGTTTATAGGTTATTTATTAGCAAAAAAAAAAAAACCTACAGAGGCTTTTCAGCAGGTAAGTAATATTATAAAAATTCTATACATTTAACCTGGCTGCTTGTCCACAAGAGTAATTTGGAGAGAGAGGTTGATAGACATTGTGGAGTGTGTTCCAGTCTCAAGCTGTCCGGGCTCTGAAACCCACTCTTGCCTTTAATCTCTGCCTGAGCTTGGGCAAGCTACTTAATGTCTTCAAGTACCAATTTCTTTGTGTGTAAAACAGAAATATCATCAGGATGTTATGAGGAGACATGGATTGACTAATATACATAAAACACTTTGTACGCACGTCATGCACAGTAAGAACGTAGTAAATGGGAACTATCACTCTAAGAAGAGGGATACAATACCCTCTCACTGTGACCCATAGTGACTGAACCAGGGCTCACTGAGCTTCAAAGCTAGGAGGGATTTTAGAGAATTTGCAGAAAATGATGGATTAGAGATACCTTAAATCAACTAAGACCTATATTTTAGAAAAGAGAATGAAAAGAGAAAAATCACTACTTAGCTTGTTAAGCAAGGATATACATTATCAATATCTTGGTGTATTACTTTCCAACCTTTGTGCTGTTCCTATTTTCCCTACATAGCAATATTAAGTAGCAATCACACCAGTTCGTATCTTGATAACCATTATAGAGTCTCTTTATAAATACCATTTATTTGCTATATAATATTCCATTTGGGTGACTAAGCCCTTCCCTTTTTTTTTTTAAGTTTATTTATTTATTTATTTGAGAGAGAGAGAAAGAGCAGGGGGAGGGGCAGAGGGAGAGGGAAAGAGAGAATCCACAAGCAGACTCCTCGCTGAGCAGGAAGCCCAACACAAGGCTCGATCCCAGGACCCTGAGATCATGACCTGAGCAGAAAGCAAGAGTCAGACGCTTAACAGACTGAGCCACCCAGGCACCCCAAGCCCTCCCCTTTAAGATTAGACATTTTGGTTTTCAATTTGGGGGTAATATAAATAACTCCCCAAATATCTTTGTGAATAATTATTTTCATATGCATGGAGGGTTTTCCTGAAGACAGATTTTCCAGGGAAAAAATTACAAGGAAATTAATCTGTTTTTAGATTTCAAGTCATGTTTTTTAATTACTTTCCAAAATAGCTTACAAAGTTACTCTCCCACTAGTGTATGTTTATTTCACAGCATCCTGCTCAAATTCTGTCTTTAAATTGCTGTTAAGTTATCCCTACAACTCCCTAATGGTTTTTTTAAGTTATTTCTATACATTTTTAAGAATACCAGTGGGTTTAAACATATTCCATGTGTTTTGAACCATGTTATTTTTTTCTGTGCAAACTCCCTCATCACATCTTCTGTATATTTACCTATTTCGATATTAATGTTTTCCTCTTTAAGCATTTAAAAATAATGCAGAAGAATTATTAATCTGTTGTGAGATTAGCAGCAAATTAACAGTAAACTGTAGTTTGAATATAATTTTGGTCATTTTTACATATAATAAATTAGTTTTTTAATATTTATGTAATCAAATCTTCTATTTTTTTCCCTTGATTTCTTCCATTGTTCTTAAGTTTAGAAAATTCTTCTCCCTTTGGTTTGTTGACTAACCTGCATTTACATTTTTTTACTAATAACTTTGTGATTTAATTACTTTAATCTCTCTGGAATTTATTTCATCATGTGAGGTACTTCATTTATTTGTTCAACCAATATTTACTGAATGCCTACTGATTTTGCAACACTTTTTGTTTTCAAATAGTCAACTTCGTGCTTCTCAAGTTAGAGTACTCTTGCCCTCAAGACAAAACATGTAATAAATATCATGCATTATCAGGGAACACTTTTATTACTGAAAAATCGGAGAATATGTACATTACTTACAAGATTATGTTGCACTAAAATTGATATGGATGTATAATGCAGTAAAATAAAAATGATCACTCAAAAATTTTAAAGTCAACATGGGACTTTTTGTACTTTCGCCAGACTACTTTGGCGACCGTGCCCTCACATCCAGATTTCAAGAAGGAAAAGGTCTGGGGCGCCTGGGTGGCTCAGTCAGTTGAGTGTCTGCCTTCCACTCAGTTCATGATCCCAGGTCCTGGGATCAAGCCCCACTTTGGGCTCCCTGCTCAACGGGAAGCCTGCCTCTCCCTCTGCCTGCTGCTCCCCCAGCTTGTTCTCTCTCTCTCTGTCAAATACATAAATAAAATCTTTAAAAAAAAAAGGGGGGGGGAAGGTCATGTTTGGTCTTCCTCCTCTGTAGGGATCCTTCAGGAGAAAGTATGAGAAGCTCTGATACAACATAATTTGAGGATAATCCTGTTCTTCCCTATTAATTTAGAATTCCTCTTTTGTTTTATTCAAAGTCTCTCTTATTCAAGTCCATTCCTTGCTTTTCCACTGTCTTTGTACTAGTTATTACTATTATTGGTACTGGTATTATTATTATTGGCTACCACATATAAAAAGCTATCTATTTAAAGGGTAACATCTGAGTTAAGAAAAATATTTAATCATTCCCACAAATATAAGGGAATGATTAAAGAAGAAATAAAATGGTGACCTAAAGTCACTCATAAAACCATTAAAAGTTCAATTTCATAAGATTTGACCAATGTGAATGCTCAGGTTATGATATAATGTTAAGTGGAAGGAAGTCCAAATACCAGTTTGTGTGCTTCTAATCTTTAACAAGAGTTTAATGAAGAAGGTATACCAAATGTTAGCCATGATTTATCTGGTTAATAGCGTTATGTTTGAACTTCCTATTTTATATATACTTTTAGTTTTCCTCCTATAATGTGGAGTTAATATTTTATAATCAGAAAAAGTTAATAAATGCTATTATTAAAAGGTAAAAATCTTTCCCTCAAAAAGTATACTCCCTGACATTGACACCAGGATGTCCTTGGTAAAGGAGAACTTTGAACAGTACCCATAAAGTCAACCTTAAAGCCCAGATATTTAACTAAGAAATCACTAACTCCCCTTAAGTATTCATTCCAAATGTTCTGACACTCACTGGGTCATTTTGAAACTGACCTTCTTTAAGATCATTTAGAATGTTTATATATATTTTTTTAAAAAAAGAATGCTTATATATTTGAGATGGAATATGGCAAAATCTCTGACTTGAAGGCTTGTGACAAAGGAAAAAGAGTGGGGCTTCCACCCCAGTCTTAGGTTTGGGGACAGGCTGCAGGTGCCTGGGGACCACTGTGCTCTTGTTGCACAGAAGTAGGTGGCTGAGTCCCCAGGATGGGTGGCTGTGTCTTGCAGGGAAAGGTGTTTATCCTTTTTATTAAATAGGACAGTGAGTCTTTGTTCTTGTTTCTTGACCACATTTGAAAGAGTAGATATAAGCAATTGGAGGCCTTTTCCAGGTTCTTGCTTGTACCAAAAGAAGTAGTCGGAGGTACTGTCTGTGTACGTGCAGTTGATAACAAAGCTGGCTCCCTCCCAGATAGTCAGGAAAGAAGGGTGCTGCTGTACCTCTTCTCCTTTACTCATCCCTGTGCAAAAAGAAGAGTCAGACAAAATCATCAGGTCATCATTCTCCAGAGTGTGCATTTCTTTTTTGCTGCAGCAACTTCAGAAGTCTGGAAGAAGCCAGTCCCCCTCTCAGACTTCTAATACTAAGACACCCTGTTCCCAAAAGCTTTCCACTCACAGTCCAGCTGCAGCCACAAGAACAGGAGCAAAGGTCCAGTAAGAGTCTTCATTTTTCTTCCAACTGGGACCTGCAATCTCCAGCCAGGAAAGCTACGTCTATCACCAGGTTATCTCTTCCTTTCCTCCAAAGCACAGTGGTTTCTTAAACTGTCTACACAGGCATCTGCTTCTGTCTTTAGCTTACTCTTACAGTCAACCAAAAGGACCCTTTCGCATAATCTGCATCAGCAGAGATGCTTCGCCATCTTGTGGTCGGGTCCCCAGCTGGTAAACTAGCTGGTCCAATCCTCTTTTCTCCTGTATCTGTGGGAGATGAACACACAAAACAGCAATAGGTTAAATAAATTAAGTTCTGAGTGTGTTTTCAATCAGAAGTTATGTGGATTAGCAGAAAGCATAGTGGAAGCATAGTGAAAGGGTAGGGTTCAGAATTCCATTGCAACTTCTCAGCACAGTATTGAGTCACTTTTAAATAACTTTGAAGAAGTTACATGTTTCCCACATTTTTTCAACAAGCTTATTCTACTTGAAATCAGGAAAATGCCAATGGATAAATGCATAAAGAAGATGCGGTATATAGGGGCATCTGGGTGGCTCAGTCGGCTAATCATCTGACTCTTGATTTTGGCTCAGGTCATGATCTCAGGGTTGTGGGACTGAGCCCTGCGTGGAGCTCTGTGCTCACCACGGAGTTTGCTTGTCCCTCTCCCTCAGCTCCTGCCCCGACTCTCTCACTCTCTCTTAAAAAAAATAAAATCTTTAAAATAAAAAAGAAGATGTGGTATATATACTATACAATGGAATATCATTCACCCATGAGACGGAAGGACATCCTGACATTTGTTACCTGGGTGGCACCTTGAGGGCATTATGCTAAGTGTAATACGTCAGACAGAGAAAGACAAATGCTGTATATTACTCATATGTGTAATCTGAAAAAGCCAAACTCATAAAAAAAGAGTTGAATGGTGCTTACCAGGAGCTGGCAGTTAGGGAATTGGGGAGATTTTGTTTAAGGGTACAAACCTGCAACTAGTAGATAAATAAGTCTTGGAGAGCTAATAAACAGCATAGTGATTATAGTCAATAATACTGCATTATTAACTTCAAAACTGCTAAGAGGCTAGGTCTTCACTGTACTCACCACAAAAAAAGAAATGATAATTATGTGACATGACAGAGGTGTTAGTTAAGGCTATGGTGGTAATCATATTGCAGTATGTAAATATATCAAATCAAAACACTGTACACCTTAAACTTACACAATGTTATATGTCAATTATATCTCAATTTTTTAAAAACCAGATGGAAGAGATAAATACATCATTTTTACTCATTTTTTTTTTTGAGCGTAGTTGACACACAGTGTTACATTAGTTTCAGGTGTACAATGTAGTGATTTGACTAGTTTAAACATTATGCTATGCTTGCCACAGGCATATCTACCATCTGTCAGCACACGCTATTGCAGTACCAGTGACTATATTCTTTGTGCTGTGCCTTTTATTCCCGTGACTTATTCATTCCATAGCTGGAAGACTGTATTTCCCACTCCCCTTCCTCCATGTTGCCCCTCCCCCACCCTCTGCCATCTGGCAATCGCCGGTAAATACATCTTGAATGCAGTCACAAATTTCAATATTCACCACCATAACCTTAATCCAGGCTATTATCCACCCTCACCTGAACTGTTGCAATAGTCTTCTAACTGGTTTCCTTACTAGTTCTGCCCTCTACAACCCACTCACTACACAGCAGCAAGAAAGACAGTACTGAAACACAAACTAGATCATGTCGACATGGAGCTCTTATTCAGTCAATGGCTCTGACATTATACTTAGAATAAAATCTATACTCCTTTCAAAGATCCTCAATATCTGGCCCCAGACTACTTCTCCTATCTTATACTATCTTATACTTCTGATCCTGACTCCCACAAATTAGCTAACTTTGCCTATTTCTTTCTTATTCTTCAAGTCTCAGATTCAAAACCATATTTTTATAAAAACTTGTACATGAATGTTCATAGCAGCATTATTCATCATAGCTAAATGGCAGAAATAGCCCAAATGTCCATCAACTGATAAATGGATAAACACAATGTGGTATATCTCTATAACGGAACATCATTCAGCCTTAGAAAGGAATGAAATACTGAGACATGCTACAACATGGATGAACCTGGAAAATAGGCTACAGTGAAGTAAGCCAGACACAAAAGGACAAACATCGTATGATTCATTCCACTGATAGGAGGTACCTAGAACAGGCAAATTACTTAATTATATGACACAACTCTGAAGATCTCAAATCTTGATTCTCTTCTTCTACCCACATACTTAAGTACTGAGGGCCATAGAACATGTCCAAGCTAGTTTTGTGCAGTTTCACATTTTAATGCTGGGTGAGTGGACACAGTAGGTGGAAGGAATAGTCCTGGAAGCAATTCCTACACTAGGAATGGCTAGCAGAGACTTAACTATACATAGAAATCACTATAAATCCCATAAATATATCTCACTTAATGTGTCCTCAACTCAATCTCACCTCAGCCAGATTCCCAAAAATGTCTGAAGCCACTCCAACACCACCTAAAACAAGGGAAAGCCTGATAAGTTAGTATGGGAAAAAACTGGTTCTAACCAATTGCTGTTAAAATAGTTTACTTCTGAAATTTTCACATAAAGAAAATGTGACTGTATTAGAGGACCCCTCCCAGAACTTGGCCTCCATCAGGTTTCATTGGGTTTTGGAAGTTCTTCTTGTCTTTGTGGCATAGTCTTGCCCCACACTTCCCCCATGAGCCATTCCTCCGAGTATGGACTGCGATCCTTCTGAAATATAAATTGGATTAGAACACCTATTTAAAACCCTTCAAATGGGGGCACCTGGGTGGCTCAGTCGTTAAGCATCTGCCTTCGGCTCAGGTCATGATCCCAAGGTCCTGGGATCGAGCCCTGCATCGGGCTCTCTGCTTCTCCCTCTCCCACTCCCCCTGCCTGTGTTCCCTCTCTCGCTGTGTCTCTCTCTGTCAAATAAATAAATAAAATCTTAAAAATAAATCTAAATAAATAAATAAAACCCTTCAAAAGCTTCCCACTCCATATAGAATAATATATGAACCTAACCATAATGGTATAAGGTTACATATGATCGGGCTCCTAACTACCTCTTTAACATATCACCAACCTCTCTCCCCCTCACTACCTTCTGGGAACATCAGCCTTCTTTCACAAATATATCAAATTTCTTCTGCCTAATGGCCATTGTTGCATTTGAAAACTCTTCCTTCTCCCAGGTTTTAGCACCTTGTTTTTGCCATTTTTGTCATTGAAGACGGTTCAAATGTCATCACTCCAGAGAGCTCCATGAACACTACGATTCTTTTTCACATTACTTTGCTTTATTTTCTTTTTTTAATGTCTTTTTAAAGATCTTATTTATTTATTTGAGAGAGAGAGAGAAAGCATGAGAGAGGGGAGGGTCAGAGGGAGAATCAGATTCCCCACTAAGCGGGGAGCCCGATGCGGGACTCGATCCTGGGATTCTGGAATCATGACCTGACCCAAAGAAAGCCGCTTAACTGACTGAGCCACCCAGGCGCCCTGTTTTATTTTCTTAATGTCACTTATATTTTGAAGTCATTTATTCAATTGTTTCCTTGTCCTATCTCCCCACAGTAGAATAAAAATTCCATACATACAGGAAACTTGTCTGTACTGTGGAATTAGATATCTTCAACCTTCATACAGTGCCTGTCATGTCCCACTACAGAATACATACTTGTTGAGTGAATGCACATTTGGATGATCTTCAAATGAAATAATTTCGACTACTTCTCTCTTAGAAGAAAACAGATCCCTGGTGGCCCGGTAGGGGCTGGTAGGCCCAGGGTTGACTCTTGGGATGACCCTGGTCTCATTTGTCTTCTGGCCTCTGCTGCCTGGGTCACTGAGACCTTCTGGGGGTAGCAGTGGGTGCTTCTGTAGAACTGAGGACAATAGTGAGTCCTCCCTTCATAGGGGACCTCAAACTAGCTTTTCCTTAGATGTCACTAGTGAGAAATTGTCAAAATATGCTTCTTTATTCATTGACTTTTATGAAAACACCCTATTTATCACTGTAAATAATTTGATTTGTAGGTTTCTGAGAAGGTAGTCAGAGTGTAGGGATTAAGAACGTGGGATCTGAAGTCAGATTGCTTCTCTTCCAAGAGTGGGTCTGTGGATTAGGAACTTGGCTATTTGAAGTCATTTACCTTTTTATTTCTTAAGCTTCTTACCCTTGTTGTAAAAAATGGGGGTGGGGACAACACAGCACCTGCATTATAAGGAGTCAAGGAAATGACATGATACTAAAGATGTTTGTACGATGCTCACTGCACATGGTGTTATCTAAACATTATCTATTTGGCTATTATATTTGTTACTCAGGACCTCCAGGCACTAAAAGTCACGAGCATAAGCACGGCCAAGTAAGACCAGGCTCGTCTTTACCCTTCTTAAAAGCTGAGCTATGTGTTCATACTAACAGCCGAGTTGTACCAGCAGCACACAACATGGGTGGGGTTCACACCACAGTAACCTATTTAGTGTCTGCTCATCGAAGCTCTAGCTTTGACCCTGAGTTGGGCGTTTCCACTGTTTCCTTAAACATGGATTTGAATCTTGCCATTGTTTTTAGAATCTGTGAGAGCTCCATGTTAGGAGTCAAGGTTTATAATTATAGAGAGAATGAAAAGACTGACAAAATGAATAATGTGCTCTGCTCTGCAAGGCCTCCTGGTGGAAGGGCTGGGGCTGCAGGCCCAGCTGCAGTTTGGGTGCAGGCTGCAGATCACCAGGGAGCACTGTGCCTCCACCGCACACAGGTAGGTGGCTGAGTCTTCCAGTTGGGAGGCCGTGATGTGGAGGGTGCTGGACCGTTCCTTAGCATTCACTGTGCAGTTTAACCTTCCACTCTGCTTCATCCCCGAGGCTATGTAAAACAGTGAGGTGAGGCCGCCCCCGGGATTCTGTCGGAACCACTGCAGGTTGCTCGCAGTTTGGGAAAAATTGCACTTCAGAGTAGAGCTGGCTCCCTCCTGGACGCTCAGGGCTGAACGTCTCTGCTCCACCTCCATCCCTCTCACCCCTGTTAGGAAAGAGAAAAACGATGATATCACTGGGGAGTCACTGATGCAGTTTTCAAAACTGTAACGTATCCAGAGACACACCCCTGAGGATGTAAGAACATCTAGGAGCTCAGCGTCAGCTCCCCCACCACTGGGGGCTGTGGACCACTCCCAGCCCCCACTCACAGCAAACATGGACCCACAGGAGCCCCAGCAGACCTCCCCAGCGTCTCTTCATGATTCCTTGTGTAGTTGTTTAGTTACCAACACCCCTACTGTGCAGAGTTTAGAGGCTTGGGTCCAGAGAAATTGTGTTGTTACAGCCAATCCATTCCACCAGAACCACTGAGCCCCAATGACACTCACACTCGAGCTTTGTCATTTTGCTTCTTAACAGGAAACTCCACCCATGATGGCCCAGCCCTGGCTGAGTGTGTAAGGTTTCTCGGGGGTGTGGGTGTGTTGGGGGTGGAGGATTCAGGTTGGACTGGGCAGAGGAGGCACTAAAGGAAGATATCCAACTTTCCCAGTCTTTCTGTTTTGCTTTTCAGAACTGTTTTAGGTATAGGAAGTCTGAACAGAGGGTAGGAAAAGTGAGATGGCAACTCAGACAGAAATAGGGGCCTCGTCGAGTCAGTACATCCTGGAAGATCGTAATTGCAGGGAGGCTGCTTTCTTTTTTTTTTTTTTTTAAAGTTTTTGTGTGTGTGGGTTTTTTTTTTTAAAGATTTTATTTATTTATTTGAGAGAGAGAGAATGAGAGATAGAGAGCACGAGAGGGAAGCGGGTCAGAGGAAGAAACAGACTCCCTGCCGAGCAGGGAGCCTGATGCGGGACTCAATCCCAGGACTCCAGGATCAGGACCTGAGCCGAAGGCAGACGCTTAACGACTGAGCCACCCAGGCGCCCCGGGAGGCTGCTTTCTAAACAAGAATAAACACACATAGTTTAACAGAGAATGTGAGAATTTATTTATATGGAATATCTAACAAAGGAAAACTGTTTCACGGTACGTATCGTTTTGTTAACCCCCTTTGTTAGATAAGTAAATACAAATGAAAGAAATTAAAATCATTTTGTAAATCTAGAAAATATAGATTTGTGTTTATACCTGAACATAGTATATGTCCTACAATAAGACTTCAACAGGTAGTAAAAGAAATAGGACAAGTATAGGATGGCTAACTTGGTCTCAAAAAGTTCCCAGCCCCCTGTCTTCCCACCCAACCCTTTCCCTTCACGGCGTGAGACCCATATGACTGAACCCACTGTGTGAACATGAGGCGAGGCCCACACTGTGCGGTTCAAACAGAGTGTTTCTCCTTTCTCTCCCCATCTTTCCTTACATCTCTTCCTTTTCTCCTCTCTCTACTTTTATTCCTCAGTTCCCTCATTTCTTTATCTCAGAGGAGATACGGGAGAAGAAATTGTATCACTGGTATTGGAGTCATTTCTAAGTCAGTGGAGTAGAAGTGTGTTTCAAAAATGTTTAGTTATAAAAATTAAGAAAAAAAGTAAAATATAAATGTTTTCTACTGGAACCTCCAGCCCACTTGGCTCTAACAGATTCCTACTCCCGACTGTGCTCCAGGAATCATCTGTCCTATTAGCACAGTCCAGGCCCCCCTCAACCTGATCCATTGACAGATTTATGGAGATCAGAGCTCCATCTCTTTGAGATTATATTAAAATGGAAGAGCTGAGTAAATGACAGAAAGTTTCAGTAAATATTTTCCCTGTATGCTTAGTGATTTTGTTTTATCACATTTTCCTCAGTCCCTTCCTCTAATGTTAACCTTCATCTTTCCATTCAGTTTTCCAAATGGAAACAGATGGAATTACCTAGGATCTTAAGGAAAGTTGCTCAGTTAAGGGGGAAGCCTAGAGTGCCCCCTAATGGATTAAAACCATCAGATGTAGACTGTCATGGTACTCTCTTGTCTGGTCACAGGGCAGATGGCAATCCCCCCACAAAACCTGTCCCTGACACTGTCCCACCTGAAGTGATTCTCCGAGGAAGTTCCAGGCTCCAGTCTGTTGGAGCCATTGTGTTTCTCTCATGCATTGTCCTCTCATCATCAATCCTGAATCTTTGAAGATTACTACCATGTCTGCACAAGAGCTAAGCAGTTTAGTCCCTTCTGTTCCTCTTGTCTTTATAGAACATGAGATCTTACTGAAAATGCCCCAGCTGGGTCCCTTGAATCACTGAAAGCCTCACATTCTCTAGAAGTTTGTGTTCAGCACCCCCTGCCGTCCCAGGCACTGTGTCTCTCACAGCGCAGAAGTACTTGGCCGCATCGCTGCCATGGGCTGAGGGTTTCCTCAGGTGGAAGGAGGTTTCAGTCTTCCTAAATTCAGCCTCGAAACCTTTGATGCCTTTAACCAGAGTGTCCCCTGAAAAGTACTGGAGGAGAAGCTGGAGGCCTTGGTTGGGGTACTGCACGTACCAGTAGAGATACGGTTGAACAAGAGATGAGTAGTTGCACCTCAGCTCCAAAGCAGCTTCTTCAGAGACAGTGACGTGGGCATCAGGCTGGGTCACCGACTGGGCTCCGGTTCCCCCTGAAACATCAATGCTGAGTCAGTGAGACCAGGACAGACTTACCTATTAAGAGGAGTTGTCTCTATTCAGAGCAGTTGTAATACAGTCCTTGGCTGAAATTGAATTTTACTCACTCAGGGAAAAAAGTATCATAAGCACTGAGACAGGAGCCAAGGTCATGGCTGAGCAATGAAGAAGCTGTAGGATCCTTTTTGAAGATCTTCCCTGAGCAGGAAGGAATGTGGCTGAGTAAACAGCACCCTTGGAACAAGGAAGAATGTGTATGGTCAGTGCTCCAGAATCTTGCATAAGCACGTTCCAGAGAGTTTGGAAGAGTCTCTTCCTTGACAAATCTGACTTCTAAGTTCTTCAAAGGTCACTGTCTGCAAAGGGCTGGCTGCATCTGGACTCCTCAGTCGACTCTGGGAAGGAGGAGCGAAAGGAATGATGCCGGTCTTCAACTCTAATTCTAGTTTGTGCAACATCGCCCTCTGGAGGCCAAACAGAGGTAGTTCTTCTAGTAAGCCTTGTCCTGTCCCTTGCTACTTCACGCATCATTAGAGAGGGATTCAGAAAGGAACAGGCAGAATCCATAATCAAGAACTGGGAACTTTAAGCCAACAAAAGTTGAAAAAGTAAAAAAGAAGAAGGTAGGTTCTTCTCAGTAGGTAAGTAATTAAAAGAATATTTAAAAATGAGAAAATGAAAGTATGTTGTTCTTTTCCACAAAAGTAAAAATAAAGGTGATTAAAAACTGCAGAGAGGAAAATGTACAAGAAAAGGGTGATATAAATGTGAAATTATTTTAAATAACTTAAAGAATTTAGAGAAAGAAAAACCAATTAATGATGCTAGGAATATTTTTTTTTTCTGGCTATGACATTGGCTTTTTTTTTTTTTTAAGTAATCTCTACACCCAACATGGAGCTCAAACTTACAACCCAGAGATCAAGAGTCCCATAGTCTACCGACTGAGCCAGCCAGGCGCCCCAACATTGGCTGTCTAGAGTAGAAAATGTTCTCTGTACATTACCTTACATAGAGAGGAATGAACACACCGACTAACATGCTGGGCCAGTAGGTAGAGGCTATGGATCTTATTTAAAAGACAGAAGTAAAGAGTAATATAGCCATCAAATATAATATAAATGAGCTGCAATGTCGGCATTCATTGTGGGAAACAAATGGATAGTAACTAAATTAAATTAAGCAGTGAGTTTTCCTGTTTTTCATCATTTCATCTAAAGCTTAGGTCAATATGGATAAATTTCTATAAAATCTAAGTTAAGAAGTTAGGCACAACCAATGAGACTTGGTAAGAGTGATTAATTTGTCCTGAAACCCTAGGCCCTTCACCTGCCTCCAGCCTATAACAGAAGTTGAGAGATGTAGAAAGGAAGAGAGAATTCTTTGAGAAGTATTCATAGATAGGGCTCTGGGGAATGTTCTCTGTCTTCCTCCTAAGAAAGGGAATATTGTCTCCTCCGAGCTAAGTGGAATAGCACCAGAACCCCTGAGAAGGCTGGGGAGAAATCGTGTGTGTGCACATGTGAGTCTGGAAACGCATCAGAGTAAGGCATGCTGCGTGTCTGTAATGTGCTTAGTGCAGTGATGAGACCTAAGCTGGAGCCCTGCTCTCATGAGTGCTTAATGAATACTTCTGTTCTGCTCACTCTGATGGAAGTCGTAATACTAAATCAGAACAGGGTTGCGTACTTTGATAAACTACTGACTGCCGGAAACCCAGACAAAAACTCATCCTGGTCTCTGTAATTATACAAAGGTCTGAACATAATCATTTATTTACACAGACTGTCTTCAGCCTGGAGGCAGAGAGTTACCCATCCATCCTGGGAGTCCAGTCACCAATCATTCCATGAGCCATCATTTATCTACTTGAACTTTGAAAGCCATGCACAAAAAAAGTCATGTGATCTTTCTACAGAGAAACAGCTATTCGATTTATTGATTTTTTTTTTTTTTTTAGTCAGAGATAACAAGACCAAGAGTTTTATCTCCCCCAAAAAGTTCTTATATTTCTTTAGGTCTTCTTCAATTTATGAAGAGTCTGAACCCACAAGATTTTATGTCATCCTCCAGTTTTATAGGGTTGGCAGATCAGGTTTCATAACCTCATTAGACAGAAATGACAACACAGGATATTGATAGCATTAGTCTGGCAGGTATTGATTAAGTGCAGGACCTTTAATGTGATATTATTTTTATCTTAAAGATTTTATTTATTTATTTACTTACTTATTTGAGAGTGCACACGTGAGGGGGGGAGAGGAAGAGAGAGGGGGAGGGAGAGAACCTCAAGCAGACTCCATGCTGAGCATGGAGCCCAACATGGGGCTCAATCCCAGGACCCTGAGATCATGACCTAAAGCAAAATCAAGAATTGGATGCTTAACTGACTGAGCCACCCAGGCACCCCTAGTGTGGTATTATTTTAACCTCATAATAACCCTGGAAGATAGTATTATGATCTCCATTTTATAGAGGAGATATCGAAGCTCAGATACCATTAAGTGTTTGACCAAAGAGTAACATCTGAGATTGAACCCCAGGAATGCCTACCTCCACAGCTTATTTGTTTTCCACTCTGTTTTGTTACCCGAGGGCAAGTAGCAAAGATAAAATACAACTGGAATTCGAATTCACTGTTTCTAATCCCACTGCTCTTTCTACCACCCCTCAGTGGCTATTATTTCAAAGTGTTCAACATGCAGACTCTCATTTATAAAACTAGAACTTAAAATTCAACCTAACCGTGGTGATTGCTCATAGTCAGTGACTCCTTGAAAGAACATGGACCATACTCCAGGCCCCTCTATCTCCAAGACAGGGCTCTTTTCCTCCTAACTACAACCAAGTCATCACCCAGCTGAGATCCCATGAACAAGAGTAAGATGAAACACCAATGCGGATAGAAAATTTTTGAAGATTTTTCTGGGCCAGATTCCACCTATAATTTCCTTTCATGGATCAGTGATCCAGAATAGTCTAATGTCTTCCTTAGATAATCACACACAGCCTCTCAGCTATGATATGGACATCTACTTTCATAAGAAACATTACCCAGATTCCCCTCTACCCCACCCTCTCAAGTCTCAAGTCAGGGTTGTGGCTGGACTCTCCGCTGCTGGTTTGGGTAGAGGCTCCAGGGACTTAGGAGTCACTGTAAATCTGCTACAGAGACATAGGTGTCTGAGTCTCCAGGCTTCAAATCTGTAATGTGCAGGGAGGTATGTTTCTTGTCTTTGTTCAAATGCTGTGAATCTCCTTTCCTCGTTTACTCCATGTGAGATTATGGGAACCAGAAACTCAGGGCTTTTTCCAGGATATTATCTGTACCACATGTAGTACAGGGAATCATGGTCTTCTTAAGTGCACTTGAGAGAAAGGCTGGCTATATCCTGAGCATTCAGTGACCCAGCACAGTGCTTCACCTTCAGCAGGCTCCTCACCGCTGTTTAGAAAGATGTCAGCCAACAGAGATGAGTTTATGGGCTCTAATGCTCTGTAACTTTTGTTTTCCCATAATACTACTTCTCCACCAAACCCTAAGATGAGCTAGATGGAAACACTCTCCAATCCGATGGACTATCACTCTCAATAGAAAATGCTATCAAATATTGCTTTCCCCGTTGTCAAAATCAGAGACAACCCCCCACCAAAATAATAACAATAACAAAAACAATAATAATAATATCCTTACAGTCCTGATGAAGCCACAGGAACACTAACAAGATTCCCAGGAACTTTGTAAGTATTCCTGTCTCCCTTTGACCCCCAAAGGACCCAACTCTGGAAAGTGATCATGACTCACAATCTCCGTTTCTGCCTCATATATTGTAAAAATAGTCCATCACACCAATCAGAATTTTAAAACTCTCCCCATCCCCTCCTCTCCATCTCCATTCTCCTTGCCATGCAACCCACACCAGGAGAGTGAGACAAAAGAAGAGAGAGAGGAGCAACAAAGAGAGGGAGAGATCTAAACACAGAGGAGACTTGGAAACCTTCTCATAGATGCTTCAAAATGGCCAAGGAAGTGTGCACAATTTGTATGACTATATATAATAATTTGACGGAGGCTAAGTTTTTCAAAAGCCAAGAAGCATGTCATCCACGTTGTGTGCAGTGTTCGTGTAAGGGTATGTAGTGGTGTGTGCATAGTGCATGCGCGCATGCGAGTGTGTGTGTGTAAGAAACGGAAGGGCACCACTAAGCTAAGCAACAGTAGTATGAATACCATAGATTGCCTCATTCTGTATGCTTGAGCAGCTCAGGGATGACGTGCCCTGAGACACCCGGCACATAAATGGTAATCTTCTACCTAGAGAAATATAGGACCCCACAGCCAGCCCTCGACATGTTGGGTAAAGAGTGATGCTAGCAGGCAAGATTCCAGACCCCAGTCCAGGCCACATCCCAGTTCCTTTTAATCCCAAAGTAACTCACCCAAGATCAGCACAGTCACTCTTGTCACCTGCTTCATATTCCAGGTATAAACAAGGACCTAGGGTCTAGGCTCTGTTGTGGAGTCTGAGCCTGGACTGGGATACAAACTGGGAAAGAGGCACAGTAGCAATAACCAGAGCCCACCCTGTCAGCTGTCACCTGGGGCTGTCCCCAGCAGCAAGCCAAAAGCAGGGGCAGCGCCTCCTCAGAATGAGCCTCCCTCAAGGTTCAACTGAGCACTCAGGAAGAATAAAAGGTAAAAGTTTGCAGGGGCGCCTGGGTGACTCAGTCGGTTAATCGTCCGCCTTTGGCTCAGGTCATGATCTCAGGGTCCTGAGATTGAGCCCTGTGTTAGGGTCCTTGCTTCTCCTTCTCTCTGCCCCTCCCTACTGCTCATTCTCTCTCTCTCTCAAGTAAATAAATAAAATCTTAAAAAAGAAAAAAAGTAAAAACTTCCAGCACAACAGCATTTGTGAAACCCACAACTTGGATTTCTTTTTAGATCTTTGCTAAGGTATAACTCCTTATAGATTTGGTCTGAATGAAGCAAATACATCAGAGGGTAGATTCCACTGGGCTCCTTATTCCCCATCACTTTTCCACAGTCTCAGAAGGTGGTCATTGACTGTAGTCAGTCTGATATTCATAAAGCTGAGATTAACTCCCCTGACCTGGTACTATATGCCTGGAAATCTTCCCCATTGTTCTTATCCAGCCAGATAAACAGAGAACGCTAATCTTATTCCACAAAAGAGCACATGAGCCCATCTGAACTGGACATTTCATCTCCTGACACCCTAGTGTCCTTTTATAATCTAAGTCCACATTTAACATCTGCTTCGCAGTCTTCACTTAACAAATGTAAAACAGGGGACCAGCTCCCTCACTAATCCCTACTGACCAGTGAGAGTAGGACATTTGAGGTAGAATCATCCACCTTACCAGGGAGGAATGAGGTGAGGAAGAAGAGGCACACAAGTTCAGAATCAGACAGACTTAAATCTAAATCCTAGTTCTG